GAATTCTAACGCAACTTTCAAAGAACAGGGTTTGAAAAAAAAAAAATTGAAATTTTTCCGAATATCGAGAAAATTCACTGACTTTTCGCATTTTTCGCGCAGGTGATATCAACGATTTTAGGGTTACAGGCCCCGTCAGGCAGCGGCATTGTTCCGACCAGCTCTCTGGACAGCCACAACGGCCAGGTGAGTTCCGTCGGGCTCTCACCCGAACTGAGACTCAGCGCCTTTCAGGTAGCACACGTGTCTTTTTACACGTGTCGTGTCTTGCAGATGGACTGGCTGGACTTCCTCCAGACCGTGTTCAGGAATTCGGGTGTCAATCTGACGTCAGAGCACCTGGTGTACGTAGGCGGCATCTACGTCAAGTACATCCTTCAGCTGTTCGGAAACTCGAGCAGTAGGCTGCTAGGTAAGAAACCGAAGGCTCGTGCTTCTTGTCGACTGCAGGGGGCTTCGTGTCCACTTCGTCGTGCTGAAATGAAAAGTAATGCGAGAAGAGAAAATAGTCGTGGGGTGTATAGAAACTGTTTATATTTTTAAAAGAAGACAGTGTCTCAGTTTTATATTAATTATTATTGGCATAGACTCCTTCGCAGATGTTAACAAACAATGTTAATTTGTAACGCAATTTTGTCAACAGCCAACTACATTGTTAGCCACTTGGTGATGCATTTGGCTCCGGAGACAACAGAGCGCATGCGTGGCTTCTTGATTCGATTGTATCGAAAGTTGCAGTTGATTACAGACAACTATCCCAGGTAAAGAGATCATTTGTTAATAAGCCCGACTTTGGTAACGCCGGAATAAAAACAAGATGATATAATTTAATCTGTAAGACTTGAGGTTCTCACAGCGGTGAATATGAAGATTTCTGTCTTCTGGGTTATTGCGCTGTGTAGTCTGGTCGATGTTAACCAACGTTTCAGAGGTCATACTGCCTCCGTCATCAGGGCCCTGATGACGGAGGCAGTATGACCTCTGAAACGTTGGTTAACATCGACCAGACTACACAGCGCAATAACCCAGAAGACAGAAATCTTCATAATTTAATCTGTTAGCGAGCAGGTGTTGGAGGGCATTTCAGGTTCTCCCATCGTCGCCGATTTACCCCGTGTCATTGTATATTGATGTTTTGTTGTCGTAGTTGGCACTCCTGTATCAACAAAGTTCTCGATTACCCCAACACTGGCCTTGGAGCGGCGATGATTCTAGATTACGTGAAAGACAACTTCCGCCCTGAAAACACGCGCCGGGTGAGTGTGTTTTGTTTTACAGAGCCTTCCTATAAAGCTTGTTTACCTGCTAGAATTACAAGGCTGTGGAAATTAAAGTACAACCCTAACTACAAAGGCATTCGTAAGTTTCAGTGACTTCATAATAAAAAGACGAGTTCTTTTTCTTAAGATTTTGTTTTTATGAAGAACGTACAGAACCGCTTTACAGCGGATGCTGAAAATGCTCACAAAATGTTGCAAATGCTTAGTATGACCCGAAATTCTGTTGCCTTTTCGTATTCGGGGTTTCGTTGTCAGAAGACGCACTGTCAAATGTTTCACGAACAGCAGCAAACGATCCGAATACACCACACCTTTTGCGCAGCGGCATAGCAACGACGGCGAGTTTAATGGGAGTGTCGCTGCGTGGTGGCGCGCTCTGCGTAAAAGCTGGAATGAGTACAAAGTTGACAGCAGTACGAGAGGGTCTTGTTTGTCTGATAATCGTGATTCAGGTGATGCAGCTATTGGAAGACCTGCAGGTGGCGAGCGAGGAGCTCCTGGACCAAACTGACTGGATCGACGAAGAGACGAGGCGCCTGGTCACGGACAAAATGGACGCCATGACCGTTCTGGCGGGATTCCCTCGCTGGTACTCCAACGCCTCCGCCCTGGACCGGTTCTACGACAAGGTGAGGCGTCAGACGGCCTTTGCTCTAAGGCAGTCAAAATAAATATCATTCGTTTTGCAAGATTAAAAATGCTAACGGAAGAAATTGTTTTGCGCCTGCGCAGCTCGTCATCCACCATGACGACCATTTCGGCAACGTCGCGAGGATGCGTTCATTCTTGTATGCATCGAACTTGGCAACGCTGGATAAGAAGGAAGACCCTCAGTTTAAGTGAGTCACTTGATCTCAGCCTCTGTTACGTAAGAAATTAAGTGAACAATAACTTTAAATACTGAAGTGCTTTTTCTGTGTTTCTGTTTGTAATCAAAATTCTCTAACAAAGTCGCTTTGTTGTTTTGCAGGTGGAATTATTCACCGTTTCTCGTGAATGCGCTCTATGAGTTGCGTGCTAATAGCATCAGTAAGTAAACCTTAAGATTCGCTTTAATATTATTCTCGTATCTGCACGCTGACAAGATGCAATATTAAAGGGACGTGTATCAGATTACGACTTTCAGACTTTCAAAAAATAAAAATGTCAAATTTTATGCGCAAGTCACCGCCAATATTTATTGTGCGCAATTTTTAATAATGTAATTTGCGATTTCAGCGCTGCCTGCCGGCATGATGCAGCATCCGTTCTACACGGGACAGGACAACAGACCGCGGTAAGATTGCTCTTTGGTTGGCTGTTCTTGAACGATACTCCCGAGGGAGGTTGTTTCTTTCTGACAAGATCGTTTGCTAAAACGCTTCAGAGGTTCGTATTTCTGTTGCAGTCTCTCGGGCAAGAAGAAACGCGTAAAGAAGGCGCGAGGCAGAGGAAGCCGGAAGTCGTCGCGAGCATTTGCGAAGGAAAGCGTCCTCTTGTACGTGAAGTGAAGTTTAAAAAAAATCCCATTCAATCGAATCCTACTCGGAAAAGTTGATATCGATTACGTCACCGAGATCGAGATAACGACTACGATAAAAGTTTCCGATGTCGCGTATAGATGTCAGTCACGTCTGAGAATGGGTAACATCATTCTTTATTAGGCTTAATTTCTAATTTCGAAAGCAGAGATGTTAAAAACACCTTCTTAGCAGAATCTTTGAAGCGCGTTTCTGCGCAAAATCAAGCAGTGGGCGCATTCGCATTCTTTGACTTGCGAATCCGTCGCTTAAAGCGATCTTCTGTTTGCAGGGCGCTGGACTACGGTCGTCTTGGTTCCGTCGTCGGCCACGAGATCACGCACGGATTCGACGATGATGGTATTAATTATTTTTGATCTCAGCCATTTAAATGTTTGAGTGTGGTTCATTTGCTGTGTAAATTAATCTGAAAGGAAAAGCCACAATCCGCAGGCCTGTTACTTTGTAAGGCTCCAGTGGCAATGCATTTGCATCTTGTGATGCAGGTCGCCTTTATGACGGCAACGGAGAAACGAAGAATCAGTGGAGCTACCGTATGCAGTGGTTCTTCTTCAAGAGAGCCCATTGCTTCAGGAGACAGTACGGGTTGAAGAGCCACTTCCTCCTCGTAAGTGGTTCTGACACTTCGTCTATGTTTTACGTAAAAACAAGCATCCACTCCTGTGAACATCTCGGCGATAATCTTTCGCGAGGTCTTCCTACTTGTTAAGACGCGAGTTTTTCTAGTATAATAGGCAGATGTGAGGACTTCTGAGGTCTTTGGTGGGGTGTGCGCTGTCAGTCGAAGTAAGGAACAGGCCGCTGGAAAGTTTGTTCCGATCTTATTAGGGCGCGTAATTTGCGAAGACAGAAACGAGGACGAGAAGCGGACGAATTCATAGAGTCGTAATTAAATACCACTCAATTAGGTAATTTTCCGTAATGCAGACGCGTATTTGTCTTAATCTGATTGGTTTTTGGCTGCGAACAAAAGAGAATCGTATTGCGTCGCTTTCAGGACACGCTGGGGGAAGACATCGCCGACAACGGCGGAGTGCGGAAGGCGTTCAGAGCCTTCAAGAGGGCCTGGTCGCGTGCGGGCGGCGTCAATGCAACGTTACCACGTCTGCCGAGCTTCACCCCTGACCAGATGTTTTTCATCGGATATGCAACAGTTGGTATCATTGCTCACGCTTTCCAATCCGCAATTTTGTAAGAATTTCTCACCCCTGCGTGCTACACGCCCATCCCCCACGCCTGTTTCTGGATGAGTCTTGACTAATTTCATTGCTGTGTGATGTGTTGCATCGCACGAAAGGATAATGGATGTGCTTGTCACGTTGGTTGCAGCTGTGGTGCCACTCAGGCGAAGAGTTCTCACTCGATGACCACAGTTCGCATCGGGACCGCGTCAACAAGCCCCTGTCTAACATGAAAGAGTTCGCCGACGCGTGGAACTGCGCCCCAGACTCCCCGATGAATCCACGTGACAAATGCGTTCTGTGGTAGAAGTGGTTGGCCTTAGGGTCCATCGCATTCAAGTGGTTTACTGACAATTAGTGTCGAGGTTAACTCACGTATCGCCATTGATTAATGTTAACGACGAAGACAAAATCTCAAACCTGTAGTAAAAACGTAGAATTAAGACACAGCACACGTAAAACTTTAATGATCTTAATGAAAATACCACGGAAAAGTATTGTGTTTACTCTAACGTGGCCCACGTTGTTGAAAGGATCCAACTGACTTAACAACTATAATCTTTGGTGTAATACATTCGCACAGGACGCAACAGAAAACAAAAACAAAAACAAACCGAAGATGCGATGATCAGTTCTGCAGTTGTAAATCTTGATTCAGCCTAGACACTCGTAAAATAATGGCTGCCTCTGACGGAATTCTCTCGATATTAGTATCTTTTTTACCAGACATCCCTTGATTCTGAAAGTGACAGCAATAACTAATTGACGTCTTCGTTCAGAAGCTGTCAGTCGCTCAGTTGGTCGAAAATTCCACAGACTTTTTTTTACAAGACCTCCAAATTTTTCCAAGTCTTGAAGACGGTCTACGTAATAAACTTAGGAGCGTACAGAAAACTTTAAAAAGTTTGAAAAGTACGTATATCTATTTGGTATTAATGGCGACAGCGTTATAAGAAGGTTTACCAAAAAAATAGACGCGAAGGAATATCAAAATGATTTAGGGCAGTGGCCTGTCGGATTGCGTGGTTTCGGACTGACATCCTGGTCACTTAGCAGTGAATTTCTTGATCGTGTTTGTGCCGCTCTAACGCCCAACGTCTCTTGTTCTGGTACAAGGATAGAGTGAGGGGGTCGCGACTTGCAGTTTGCAAACCGCCACAATCTCTGGCCACTCGTTCGGTATCTGCAGAGGTTTCGTGCGCTGCACCGGTCAGTTTGCTCTGATACTGCGGAGAGAAGATGATCAGGTACGTAGACAAACAATCTCTTTCTTTCGCTCGCTCGAAGTAAGTTTGTTGTAACCCTAAACGGACGGCAGACATTTGATTTGTTAGGTTAGGTTTCGTTGTCGAATACTGCAGACAATCGAGGGCACTCGAGAGCAACCATAATTCTGACCAGGTATTTTGTCCGTGGCGTGCTTTGTACAGTAAACGGGCTGTGTTTCAGGTCTCCTTTTCCGTGATTTTCTCATACCCTTTGTAGTTTCTGAGTGCAGTCCCTATGTTACGAGGGAAACTAGACTTAGAAAACTCCTTATATAGTCGTGAGTAAAGGTCATGTTGGCTGTAGAAAAGAGGTTTATCACACAAGAAGGCGTTCCTAAAGAACTGCTCATCACATAAAGTAATTATTGCTTTACACAAATCTGATTGTAAATTATTGGTCACTTGTAAAATCTGAATTTTTTCCGTCACGAATTTCGTTCACAGTTTCTCCAGGTTTTTAAAAGCTTGTTCGACGACTAATCTAATAGGAATTCTAGCGAAACAATGAAGACTGAGCGGGAAAAATGTAAGTCTGTATAAGATAGCAGACTTGTATCAGCAACAAACAATGAGCATATACCAATGGGACATTAAAAATCGTATAGATAAACCTTGGGACATTTTTTAAACTGTGACGAGTGTCATAAAGGTTTCAGGAATTGATAAAACCATGTTTTTCGATACTAAACCCCTTCATTACAGGCAAGGAATGTGATAGTTTAAGCAGAATTTGTAAAAGAGCCATTGTTATATTAAAATAATTATCAGCTTTAAGCACACATCAGTGTGCATTGTAAGAGGGAAATTGTGTACTTCAGGTTCACAACGAAGAAGACAGACAAATGCCAACTGTTTAGCATGAAATATCCCAGACCAAAAACCGTGTGACGACGAACTTAAAGCATCTTGGCCTGACGGGTAGTAATTTGGGTGGAACGGAAAGACGACAATGAAAATTCTGTGCTTTGATAAGATACAGCGTAGTGGAAGGAAGGACAGGATTTTACTGACATTTTCATCACAATTATTATATACTACGTTCTTCATCAATATCAAAGCAATTTGTGATACTCAGATATCGTCAAGTTGGCAGTTCGTCTACACATTTTGTGTTTCAATGTTTATTACGAATCCGCTACATGTTTCGACCTTGACTGGTCATCTTAAGGTGCTTCTCTTTAAATGTTTTGATGTACAAATATAAATTAGCGGTTATATCTATTAGTTATCTGTTAGACGATGCATGTGGTGGAGTGTTAATGAACATTGAAACTATTTAGGATGAAAACTTTTTTGTGTAGATGGTCTGTCGACCCTACGATCAACAGGCAACGGGAATCGTCCCTTAAAACTCGCTGCCTTAATATTTTCTTAGACTCAGAACTTGCAAACCGCAGACATCGAAGTAAGGGAGGCTAGAGAATTGTAATTCGGACCGGAACACACGCGATTTTTGAATTTTCTAGGGAACGGAATACTATAGGCCTAATTTGTTGTCATACTTTCCGGAGAAACATACTTCAAAAATTTAATCTAAATCGATTGAGTAGTTTGTGAGAACTATGTTTTATTACAGAGTGATTGATAGACGTGTTGTTCGCGTTGTACTTTTGTTTCAGGCGAAAACTGTATCAACTCTTACTATACGTATTTTCTTTCAACTTCTGATCCCGCTTTTAGTTTCAGAATATGTTTGTTGGCAGCAGTGGCTGGGGTGACGCCGGGTGCCGCCGTCATACAGCTGGACGCCAAGTGCCTAACACTGACCTGTCAGCAGGCAGGTACGGCCTTACGCTCTGATCCTAGGCAAAGTTTGCGATGCTCTTATAGGACACGAACACAGGATAAAATCTAAGAATTTTCATACAGCTGCTAATCATCGAGGAAAATTTTAAAATTTGCACTGGGGGCAATAGAACCACAAATAAAGTGTTTGCAGAATTGCTAACTTTTGAAAGAAAAATTTACCTTCCAGCAAATGAATCTTAACTTTGGAAAATAAATCTATCGCGAGATAAGACAGATACAACAGGGAAAAAAAATCAGAAATCTTACTAGATATGAAAAGTGTTCGGGCACTATATAGACAGTCTCTTAGAGGGCCTGAGCAAAACCACGAAATTGTTGATTAAAGACACCTGGTTACCACTTAGCTAACCTGTCGCAGCGGACGGCGTTCTTAGCAGTCTGGATAACAGAACGGATCCATGCGACGACTTCTACACGTTCGCATGCGGCCATTTTGCGGAGAGCCACGTGATTCCCGAGGGAAAACTGCTGTGGGACAACTTCCAGATCCTGCAAGAAGCCACGGACAACCGCTCCAGAGGTTCGTATCAGCGGAAGACAATTTAACGGGTCGCTTGCAATCCGGCGTGGGAGATTTTTGAACTTTTAAAGCCGGTCGTATCAGCGGAAGACAATTTAACGGGACGCTTGCAATCCGGCATGGGAGATTTTTGAACTTTTAAAGCCGAAGCCCGTCTGTGTAAAACATTAAGTATTCAGCCCGTACCGCTAAGAAAACACAACACTTCACCATTACGAAGATCGACTCGCTAACGCTGTTTATTCTGAGAGTCGCACGTGGTAATAAATACTCTCTGTGGGCGAAATACAGAGTATATTAAAGTAGGTGGTACGTATGATTACCACTGGGCTTTATATGGTTAATTGGCAGAGCAGAGTGGCCAGTTGCTGGCGATAAGGGGCATTCAAGCTTCCTGCACCAGAAAATCAACGCTGTCAAACCTCTTAGATCGCGTTATTTGTCGTGCGATAGTAGGCCCTTCAGCGAACAATCACAGATAAGATTGTGTGGCCTTCAGAGATTAAGCAGTTCCTGGGTAAGATGCACTTAATGTCAGGGTTAGTTTCCTCTAAGACGAGCATTTGATACTTTCCATGCCACGCACTAGAAACGTCGTGTGGTCTCTTTGCCCCAGGTCAATTTGATGTTTGAGGAACTAGTGAACGTACTGTCGACGTTGCAGCAATACCAAACCCCGCCGCCTTTGCTCAACGATCTGAGCCAGTTCAATCCATCTTTCATCTTCTTGAACTGTCTCTCAGGAATCTATTTTAATGTTATCTTCAAATCTCGTCTGAGGTAAAAGTGGAAATTTTACAAGAGGTTTCCTAACCAAAATTCCGTATGCATTACTTTCCGTCATCACGGACTCCATCAAACCCAGCACATCACATCCTTCTTGGTTTTGCTTTTTGAGAAACAGGTTTAAATAAGCAGGTTTCTTTTAGCGAAGAAACCAACCTGAGTAGGATTAAGCATATTTCGATTTTCCACATTCGTTCTTACCCAGACTAGACATGTATTCGTATTCTTAGGTGATTTTATTGCATTTTGATTAGGGTCCTCGCTTGTCTTATGTTCATTCAGATATCTTGAAGGAGCCCGAAGCGCCCGGAGAGCCGGTGGCTGTCGCCAAAGCTAAGAAAATGTTTGCGGCCTGCATGGATACAGGTAACCTAGCAAGGGCATTAATGTTGTGAGCTCCGTCTGCCGGTCATGGATGGGTCCAAATTACTATTGGCATTTCTCGTATAGTTCAGTGTTGAAATGCCCGTCGGTCAATCAGCTTCAATTTTTAAATTATATTTATGAATTACATTATTGACTTCATAAAAGGCTTTATGTATCTGTAAGAAAAATAAATCTGATTCCATAAACATCAGGCACTGCTATCCTCGACATCTTGTGCCAAGGAGGGCATGAGGTAGAGACAATTTTAAGATAAATTTTAAGATGAGCATTGCAGTCATCCTGTGATTGGCTGGCAGAATCGCAGGACAGACGAGGTCTGCGCCCCGTGCTCGAGTTTTTGCAGCAGTGGGGCGGCTGGCCAGTGATCAGTTCTGACTGGACTCCGCTGGACTGGCAGAGGATGGGTGACATCGTAGCCGAGTTCGCCGTTCCCTTCATATTCAGCATCAGCTCCTTGGCTAGCCTGGACAACGCCAACACAACGGCGGTGTATGTAAGTGCTGGCTCTGCATAACGGGGAGAACGCATTAGCGCGGTTCGTTATAGCGGAACTGTACTTCGGTAATTGACGCAAAAAAAGACGCTGTCATTTGGGCATAATCGATAAAGCTTGTCAGAGAGCAGAGATTGCAGGTAAGATGTTACTGATAGCGATAACCACTTCAGTTTCATCAGATTACGCTAACAGAACAAGAGATCAGATATTTGACTTTTAAAGAGATGAAGTGTTCTGGAGCTCCGATACAAGATTTTATCATTTACCACCCCACAGACACAGGGTGTGAGTGGATTAGTTTGCCACGGCACTTGTGTTATAAAGGCACCCGGCTGGCCTAACACTCTGTTATTGTCCTCAAATAAGCAGCCACCTCCCCAATCCTCGTCATTCATTGTCAGTAGCTAAAACACCTCGGACCGTAGAGTTGGCGACTGTAATCTTGAGACTTGCGGGGTCAAGGAGGAGAGATGGCGCCTGCCTTTAACTCTTCGGACTTCCTGCATTCCTTGCAAGTCTCAAGATTACAGTCGCGTACTGTAGGAATGGACTGTGCTGCTAAATTGATTGCTTCATTATTTTTCGTTTGTATCCTCTGGTATTATAATTCGCAAACGGTCGTCATAGCCACGTTCTTAAGGACTTCAAGGTTTGCAAGTAGGCGTCAGACTCTTCGACGTTTATGCGGCCACGGAATATGTGAAATGCCAATTAATAAAGTCGATAAAGAGATTTGACCGCTGACGTGAAATTTGACGCAAAGTGACTTATTGAAAATTGAGTACCGCTCGATGTAAGTCGGATGACGCACTAACGCAGTTCGTCTTTGCCGCGGATAGCTTGACGCTCCGTCACTGGTGCTGCCTTCACCTCTACTTTTCAACGTGGAGGAACCGGACATCATGCAGGAGCTAAGCAGAGCGGAGGGCGGCGTGGAGGACCTACCCTTCACGAAGTACCTCATAAGAATGGCCACCCTCTTGCGCGACCACCTACAGACAAACGTCTCCGACGAGAGTGTCCAGAAGGACATGGTCGATGTCGTCCTCTTCATGCAGAGCCTGTCGAGGGTGAGTGACAGGGCGTTCTTTGCACGGAGGGTCCAGCAGTCGATGTTTGTAGTGGTTCAGGATGATTTCTGTCTGTTCCAGGCGTCTCAGGCTTTGAAAGCGAATAACACCATCAATTCCAGGGGCATGGCCTGGACAATCGGGAGACTGGACCAGTGGACTAAGGAGACGCTGCAGAACACGTCCGTGAGTCTAATGTCGCCCTCAGTATCACCGCGTGACGCTAAATACGCATGTAACACCGACAGTCTCTTCTGTTTTACTGTCATTGGCCAAAAGCGAAACGTCTTTGATCTGCTGTTTCTTGCAGTCTTTCTTAAGCGACTGAAAGAGGTTAGGTTAGGTTAGCATCTCCACGCGGAATGATTTCTGTCGCCACTCCTCACTTCGCCTGTCTTGCAGATGGACTGGGTTGAGTTCCTGCAGAGGGCCTTCGGCAAGTCTGGGGTGGCCGTGAGGGCGGAGCACCCTGTGATCTTCCTTGCAGGAGAGAAGAGTCTCGCGAGCATCATCACGTTCATAGAGGGCGCTGATCCTCGCGTGCTGGGTCAGTACAGGGGAAAAAAAACATCTGCGTGAAGAAGGTTGCATAGAAACTGGTCGTCACATCTAGCCCAGGGAGGGATTTTTCTGCGTTTTAATGTTATTTGTACTTGGGGTTTTAATGATTTTTCTCAGTCTCTCTCCGGGTGAATACTGGGATGTTACCTCTAATCGTCTGTTGCAGTTAACTACGTGATGAGCCGATTGTTAGTGTTTCTGACACCAGAGAGCAGCAGGGAGATGCGAGACGCCGCGTTCACATTTTACGTGCAACAAGGATACGTCACTGACGACTATCCCAGGTATGAGGCGTTCTTTACGAAGTAATCGTGGAACTTCCTGGAACGCGTCTGTTACAGTATTTTTTTTAATGATTACAATTCACAGCTGTTCGCTTTGCTCCTGGCAGGTGGCTCTACTGTATACACAAGGTCCAGGACTACCCCAACGTGGGTTTCAGCCATGCCGTGGCCTATCAGTACAAGACTAAGATGGCGAATCCACAGATACTCAGAGAAGTACGTTGTTTAGCCGCAAACAGCGCTAGTGTAACTTCTTATCTGCAGATTTTTTGTAATTTGACTTTACTATTTATAAATCTAGTGGGTTTATTGAATGACAGAGGAGGTTAAAAGATAACATTAATATGGATCATGTGGAAATAAGTTGTGGAAAGTGGATTATACAGGTGTTGAACAGTCTCGTTCTTTTCTGATCCAGGCAGATGAAATGGTGAGCGACCTGAGGGCCGCGTTCCACGACCTGCTCACGGAAAACGATTGGATGGATAACGTAACGCGGCAGTCAGCTGACCGGAAGGCTGAAGCAATGTTGGTACTACAGGGATTCCCCACGTTTTGCGACTCTGGCGCGGAACTCGACGAGTTCTATGCGAAGGTATTGGTAATTTGGTGTTCCGAAGGATTTTGAAAATGTTATAGTTCCACTCTTGGCCTTGGCAGTCGCCAGCTGTTCCTTCCTTGAGTCCGTCGTGCCCCTCACATTTAAATGCTAGCATTTAGGTGACTCATGTGACACCAGATGTCTCTGCTTGCAGATCGAGGTTGATCGTGACGATCATTTTGGCAACGTGGTACGTCTTCGCTCGTTTATGCAAGCTACAAATTTGGCAACGCTGGGCAAGGAGCGGGATCGCAATGAGTAAGTCACTTGTTCGAGTGCCATTGGAGCCCCACAGACAGGGGCAGAGCCTCCTGGATCGCTCCTTTTGCCTGTCACATTTGCTATCAAGAAGGGTACGTAACTCGTGGTGCGAGAATTGAGGTGGTCTGCGTCTGTTTACAGGTGGACACAGTCGCCTCTGGTGGTGAACGCCTTCTACAACAGCCTCAACAACCGTATCAGTAAGATGCTTTTGATCGACTCGTTAGCTTAGGTTAGGTTAGGTTTAGTTTAGGTTATGTTATGTTAGGTTAGGTTAGGTTAGGTTAGGTTAGGTTAGGTTAGGTTAGGTTAGGTTAGGTTAGGTTAGGTTAGGTTAGGTTAGGTTAGGTTAGGTTAGGTACCGATCTCTTTTGTACCTTCTGCCCCTTCTAAGGTCGTAGTTTTGCTCTGACCATTTGGAATGTTGGAACTGGGGCGCTTTCAGAAAGGTTGCAATTTGCTCGTCAGTGTTTGTGCATCACTTCCGTCCCCTTTGACGACGGCTACTTCATTAAAAACCTGATTTTGGTGACCGGCTGACGTGGTCGAAAACTAGATCAGCGTCCTCATGTAAAATTATTTCAAAATTTAAACTATTCCAGCCGCGCCACTGTTTTGTTTAAATTCACTGTTGCCTAAATGCGAAACAATTTCTGTTTTCCAGCGTTTCCGGCCGGTATGATGGAAATGCCGTTCTTCAGCGGAAAGGAATTTCAGAAGTAAGTAAGTGGAGTGTAAATTCTGGAGTGTCACGTGTAAACCACGGGGCTCTGACTCCACTCTCCATGTTGCAGGTCCATGGATTACGCCAGGATTGGAGCCATCGTCGGCCACGAGATCACGCACGGATTCGACAGCGTAGGTGAGTGACGTCACAATTTTTGTGCGCCTCGTTGTTAGACCACGCTGTATGGCACTACAACATGGCGGTACATGGCATTAAGTTGCGTGTCTAATAACTTAACCTGATTTTATGAAGTTCGGAGACCTTATAGGCCACCGCACTCACTACCTTCATTATACAATAAGCTAAATAGACTTGAGAAAAACACAAATTGCGTGAATATCAGCCATGAGCGCTTCAAACGAGGCCTTCTGTGCTGTGCAGGCCGGCAGTACGACGCGTTCGGATCGGCGTTCGACTGGTGGAGTAGCGAGACGAACGCCAAGTTCGAGGAGCGGGCTCAGTGCTTCGTGGAGCAGTACAGCAACTACAGGGTGTCCGAGATAAACAAGACGGTGAGCATCCTACGTGCACGAACGGTCCTGTGCTACGAAGCCCAGTGACCTTGAACTTTACTGATGTGCCCTCGTCCGCAGGTGGACGGACAACGGACGCTTCGAGAGAACATCGCGGACAACGGCGGCGTCAGGGAGGCCTACAGGGCGTTCAGGAGGCTGAAGGCGCGGCGGGGCGTGGAGGTCTTGCCGCCCAGACTGCCTGGTTTGGAGCAGTACTCGGCTGACCAGCTATTCTTCATCGGCTACGCCTCGGTAAAGTAGAGTACTGGCATCCCACCGAGTAATTTTTTTACACGGATGACGAGTGAGTGCATCGCCAGGGGTGTGTTGCATTTTTTGTCCTGGGGGGGGGAGTGTACGAACCGAAAAGTGAATGCCAGGGTAGTTTAATTTGCAAGACGCTCCCGTCAACAAAAATGTCCAAACGCGAATGAGCTAATATTCTGCTTCAAGAATTTTAGATTTTCAGATTTCCGTGAGCGTGATTAACCTTGACTATAATCAACCGCACGAAACCTCGTGATAAGGGAAGAATCGATAATGACTGTTTGCATTTCGGTTAAGATAATGTTTTTGGTCCAAAAACAGCAGCCATGAATAAAAAATTGGCAGATCTTGAGATAACGAACGGGTTGAATGAACACTCCCGACCAAATTTAATTTGTTTTTCTTCACGTTAATTTGAAAAGAATTTTTCTTCGAATCGTCAAAGAGAATAAAATAATTAGAAGCATATTTGCTTTTCAATTCCTGTCAGTCTCGCTACAATTATAGACTTACGTAGCCTAGAATTAACTGAACTGATGTGTTCTACATGCGATTTGCAGCACGACCGAAGATTAACTGACGATCTGTTTCGATTTCCTTCAGATGTGGTGCAGGGCTGAGACTTTGGCTGGCCTCGAAGCCATGCAGCAGAAGGACAGTCACAGCCCCAACAGATTCCGTGTGATTGGCTCCCTCTCCAACATGGCGGAGTTCAGCGAGGTCTTCCGATGTCCCCTGGGCTCCAGGATGAACCCCGAGCACAAGTGTGTCCTCTGGTGAAAACGGGAGGAACTATTATTCGCGACGCAGAGTCAAGGTCACTCGAGTCGTGTTTCTGAGGCAACGGAACTGGGATTCAGAATTATAATTAATAATATTGTTAATGCTTCAAAATAAATTGTCAGCGGTGTTACACCAATCATTTTTGATTTCTATTTCAAATGACAAATAAAACTGTAATTTGTGACGTCATATTGCTGACTCATTGACAGGAGGAGGCCAAGAGCAGATACAGCACAGGGAAAATAAGCGAATGCAATAAAAATATAATAATAATAAAATGGCCCTCGGAAACTCCCCTCCGAAAATATTTGCACGTGCTGAACTACTTTGTGGAAAAACAATTGAATTTCTGAGAGCGCTCGCCGAGAGTCATTTGTTATGCGCATGTAGCATGCGCGGTAGCTTCGTCTTTTGTCGTCCGTGCTGTACGCAACACGAAGTTGGAGTTGAAGGCGTGTGTGGTGTGGATTGAGAAATATCTTTCTTGGGTGCACGTGTGTTATTGGCCGGTTCATCAAAATCTATGAAGAGGAAACAGGTAATGTAATTTAATATTGATTTCAGTTGTGAACCCGAGTTATTCTAACTGCTCGCCATTCTAAGCTTGAAAGTGCGCTGTTACGGTGAGGTGTCTCAATATGGCCGTAGGTCAACGTGTTCTGAAATGTGACCGGAACTGTTTGCAGTGACGCAATACAAGAACCGCTTTTAAATATAATTCGTATAGTTCGTTTCTGGTAAATAATTACGTTACGGGAGCCATAAATTGAAATTACGGGCTTAAGTTCTTTATTTATGCAATGGAGGGGAGTGGTTATAAGACGGTCATTTCAGCAGGCGACATGTTGCAAGTCTGAAATACTACGTCACCAGATTTGTGACGTCATGTCGTTCCCAAATTTGTTCTGTACAGAGAGAGGGACATTATTATTATTGCATATGAATGTACAATTGACGTAGGTCACAAGACTATTAACACTTTAGGCTATGTGGCTGATTTTAAATTACAATTAGGAAGAAGAAATATCTGGGTATTGCAATTGTGACCTGTGATTTAGAATAGGTAAGCACGTAGCACGCAGCTAAAATACACGTAATTAAATGTATAAAATTGCAGTAACAGTTAAGTAAATTGAATAATCTTATATCACTCGCGTCATGAGCGAATATTTATAAATCGTCATTTGAATACTTATATTGAATATGAAGAATTTAGGGCAATTCTTAGTATCTTTAAGGCCCCATGGCAACTTTCTCGACAGGAGTTTTTAAGCCTGAAATTCGTCTAAAAGTACGTTCTTGAGCAATGCCCCCATATGGTAGTCTCTTACGAAAGAAATGGATACAGTTCCCCCACGATATATTTCTGTAATTACATCAGTGCAATTTGATTAGTTTTGTAAGTTAGCATTTAATTTTAATAAAACCCTTCATTAGTAACTGATGCCACTGCTTGATTGCTGTTAGGCCTGCGTCTGGTGTGATATCTTAGGCGACACTTTGGAGCCGATGTTGTGGTGATTTCTGTTCACGATAGAATCGCCATCCACTTCTAAGCTGTGGCCCTCTTAAATCAGCACAGCGTTAGAATGGATGACTGTTCGTCCGGACTTGTGCTGTCAGTGCGGGTTAAAATGAGTTTCCTCTCACGGGCCCACTGGCCTCGAGATGCCCGTCTTGTCCGGAATTTTGTTTTCTGTAGAGATCCTGAAAAATCTTTTTCTCCTCCCTTCATATTTTTGGATTGTCTTTCGAATTATGGCACCTCGTAGTCTCGTACGCAGGTCGTCTCCTTAGTTTTGGAGGAACCGATTGCCCTAATCTTCGGTGTAGAGGCTTGTGAGAGTAGTCTTCTTTCCTTTTAGAAGGGGTTCAAAATTCTTCTGAGTAGTCTAGGTCCAGCTATGAATCGTATGCCTCGAGCTTCAGTGTAGAGGGACGTGTGGGTGTGGGGATTCCTTCGGTGAGTGAGCATGACGTCGTTGTCCTCTGCACAGAGGTCACTTGTCTGCAGTGTCTTCCCGGATTCGTCATCGTGAAGTTTCCCCAGCACAAATTTGTCTCCTTTAGCCCTCTGTCTGAGTTCTGGTGAGTTCGTAACTTAACACACCAGAGCCTCATTAAAGGTAACTCTTCGGTTGGTTTCAAATCGATCCTTCTGCGAGGATCGACTTTTTTCGATCAGAACCGAGAATTTTTAGACGCAGAAAAATGTCAGGCCAGCAACAAGCCACAGTTTGAGAAGTCGTCGATTTGTATTAACGTCCTCAAACAGTGGTTGAGGCACAACCAAGAGCCATCAAGTTTGTTTACTGCCTGCAGCCTCACGTTACATTAAGAAGCGATCACCAGCCACAATGCCTCGTGGCATTTGATCGAGACGGTCAATGACGTGGTTCTGATACTCCGCTCTATTTGACAACTGCAGTACTGGGTCCGGTCGTGACTCTGGAGTTCTGAACGGGTGTTCCCGTCCCCAGGGGTGGAACATGGGTGGCCTAATTAGCACCAGATCACCATTAGATCACACGTGGTCCATCCCCGGGGCGGACTGGTGATGATGCATCAAGAGACCTGATGGTGACTCCTGGCTTCTGCGTTCGCACTTATCAGACCTGCAGAGAGAGAGAGAGAGGGGGGGAGAGGGGAGAGAGAGAGAGAGGGAACATGTTAGTAAATTACGGATAGCTTAACAGTTCTCGTGTTCTCGTTCTGTTATTGTCTCTGGATGCTGACTTTTCCGTTCCGTTGTTTCAAATAAGAGAGAAATTAATTTTAATACGAAATTTCAACAAAACCATTCCGACAATTCGTCAGTCATCAGATGACAGGGAGTTTTATCGATTCTTATGCTACTGTTCCATAATAAGCAAGTCATTCGAAAAGATGGTGTCATGGTAACCAGAACTCTCGATGAAAGTTCAGTTCCTCAGGGATTTCTACACCAAGAAAACATTTAATGTCGTGCCTGCCTTATATCGGACTTTATGAAATTAATTTACAACAGTCTTAAGGCCAGTTGGCATGCGCGTTACAAAACTCGCATGACGTGTTCTTACACATGCGATAGCTGTAACATGTCCACATCCAATGGCAATTATTATTGAAAATGTCAATTTTCCTCGATTAGCTCGAGGTTTGTGACAATGATTGATACTTTAGGGGATCGATTATTTTCTGAGAACGGTGTGCACGAGAGATATTGTGACATTAAAAAAAGGGGCGAAGTGACTAGAGAGTACAGGAAATTACACGGTGAGAAACTTCACAGTTTGCACACTTCACCAAATAACTTGTTATCACGACGAGAAAAATCGAGAATTAGATGGGTTGGGCGCGCAGCACGTGCGGATGCGATGTCAGAAATCGATACAATATCTTAGTTTGAGATGCTACAGAGAACAAAGCACTCGAAAGACATAGGCGTCGGAGAGAGGATAATATTAAAATGGATCTTAAGGAAATAAGGACACGCTGAACGGCCAATCACTATTTCTTGGTCGATATTCGCCACTGCACAGAACCCAAGGTGAGACACTGGTGATTTTCTGATTGTCCACCTAGTGACGTCACCTGCGGTACTGCGCAGTGAGTCTCGAAGGGGCGAGATGCCCCAATCTTGAAGATAGCCCCTGACATGGCCTTGACCCGAGTGTGACGATATTCATAAAATTCTGCCAGATCAGGACGTTTAAATTTCTTGATCTGAAATAAAATTGCTGGAAATATTTCGCAAAATACAGCAACTTAAGGGAAGTTTTGTTAATCCTGACAGGCGTATGAAAGAGTGGCTCGCGAAGTTCCACAGCTCATCTCACGTTACAGATTTCGTCAGAAAACCTTTGTCGGCAAATGAAAATGGAGCTTCCGCCATTCTGAATCTCCTTCCAGCTTGGCCACGCCCATCTCATGTGACCACCAACCACACCAGTGCCCTGCTCAGCAACTCGAAGCCACCCTATCACAAGCCTCACATTCTATGCCCTTTCCGTCCTTAAGGTAACGGAGCGAAAGATATTCCCACGCTCTGGAAGAGATATCCGGAGCTACGGAAAGTTTAGTTCCGGGTGATTAGGCCGGAACAGAAATGGGCGTGGCATCAGCTGCGAGAAGGTAATGATGGTGACTATGTCTACCACCTGCTTTGCATTTTACTTAAACGGCATTAACCATTCATCCTTGTAATGGTGAAGAGTTGTGTTTTCTTTGCGGTACGGACTGAATATTTAAGATGTATACGACCTTCAGAACGTTGACATGAGCCCCGCGAGTAAGGTCCAAGCAGATGTCAGACTCCGGCTCGAAGCACTCAAAAGTGTTTTTCCGCTACCACCGAAATGAAATGGCGTCCTCTTTAGTACGGAGTTCGATTCTCTTCGCCACGACTGCATTTTCTTTTTTTGGGGGGGAGCTTATTGTTTTGTCTAGCGACACTATCAGTGCGTCAAACTAAAGGCTGTGGCGTTGAACATTAGGGCGATTCATGAGTAATGAACCTGAAAGGATCTGGAAGGAAGCTGTGGGTCCCTAATTTAAGGCAGGCCTGCTGTCTTGGTATTGGCTGAGAAGAACCACGAAATTTTCGGTCTCAGGTTCGAGAAACGTGACAAAAGCCTTCGGATAAACGCTGTTTTTTTTCGCAGGGTAAAGCTGAGTTATTAAGTTATTATATTTGTGCTGTGATGTAGCAACAGCTGAGGTATGTACCTGAGTCGTGCCTAGATTATGACTCTCAGTCTGTTACCCTAGACCAATGGGTCAATTACGACGCTTACATTGTGAATTGGAGGCCTCTGGATTGCATTAATGCATTCCAGACCTCTCGAAGCAACGGGACACCTGTCCTGGGGCAAGAGCGGTCTATGTCCACTGTAAGCGCACTCGATTTTCACTGCGCGGTGCGACCGAAGCAACTCTGGATCTGGTTTGTGGTTGTTTTACGATGCTGTATCAATTTTGTCCGCTGCTATCAGTCAACTGATAGTATGATAACTGAATAATGACTTGGAAAGGGTGTGGAAGGAAAAGTGGTTGTGGCAAAGAGAGGCTGTGGAGAAACATGAAAATCTTCAGTCTCAGGATCGAGATTTGAGCCCGGGACTTCTCAATAACGAGCAGGATTGCCAATCTCTCGGTTTTTCCCACAAAGTCGTCTGGCGTGTTTTTGAATTGAACTGTTTATGGTTGAGCGAAATTGGTAGGCAGCCTTGAGGATGATTAAAGGAAGGAGGGACACTAATCAGCGGCTGACCGATAAGGAGCTTGCACTAGAAAGGCCACGGGGCTAGTCGAATTACCTCAGTCGTGGGAACCGAACGTTCATTAACGTGATGACAAGAGCCTGCTACTGATCTGTCCTAAGCCAACTGAATCCAATCCACGTCGATTAATCATATCCTTTCATCAAAGTCTAGGTCTTCCATGTAGTATCTTCCCTTCTGAAGAGTTTTGGATCAAACTATGTATCCATTCCTGAAATACGTCATGCGAGTTGCGAGGCCCACCCATCTTTCTCCGATTAATAAATTTTACCTGCGAAATTAAATCCTTCGTTAAATACTGCAGTGCATTGGTTTTTTGGCCCCTCGAAGCCGAAGCTCGTCTTAATAGTATTCAAGGATTCAGTCCGTACCGCGAAGAGAACACAACACTTCACCATTACGAATATCAAATAGTTAACGCTGTTTAAGGAAATAATCGCTGTTTAGGCTGAGAATCATTTCGAAGCACGTACAAATGCAAAATTAATAATCATTGATGGTTGAAGAACATGCAAGTTCTACTCACCACAGCTGCTTCAGACACGTACCTTTCGCTCACAGAACGTAACAAGTTAAAAGGGCGGTGGCAGCCGAAGGCCTGTCGCACGAACGTCAACTCGCAGTGTGTCGCCACTTGCGGAGGGATGAGGAAACCCCCAACCAATCAAATCACAGCTTGTAGATCGTACATCTGGGCAACGGGCGAATGTCTTACGTGGAAGTGGAGGTCGTCGCTGTCTGGTCATCCGAAAACAATAGGCGATCTGACTGATCTTTTAAGATCACGTGATAAGCAACGTAGCTGTCATGTACAGTGCGTGCATAACAAAGTGACGTCATGACTACTAGAAGTGCGTGTTTTTTTGGGAAGAAACGTCTCCTGATATTGAGGTTATCAATAACATTAACACAAATTTTCAAATTCTTCATTTTGGTTGATATCTGATTAGTGTGTACAACCGGCATTTTATACTAAACTAACATAAATTCAGACACAAGTTAGAAAAGTGAGTCTATTTAAAATTGGTCACGACCGATTTTCTTAATTATTTGCAATAATCTGTATTTGTGCTGATTTACCACGTTACGTAGATGTGTGGGAGCAGAGGCGGTCCTCCGTGCATTGTTAACCTCGGTATTACAAGGAAGTGAGTGATTAGCTTCACGCTTCGGCCCTTATGCCTCCGCTGGGCGGGTCCCACAGCCGGTCTTAACACAGCCGTGGCAAAGAAAAGATTTTCTCCTCCAGTAGTCCATCATGAAACCAGTTGCTTTATTAAGGATAGGCGAATAATTATTTTTACTCATAATAAATATGGCTTTTATTAAAATGAATTCGTTAATAAGCGAAATATTTACCAACGTTTTGACTGACAATCCTGCATTTCCGTCAGAGGACAGATTTGCTACGGAAAGACCGGAACCCCTGACAGTTGACAGACCCGCTTAGCAGCAGTGTCGGAGAAGATGCCGCCAGTGCTAGGCGCTCTAACTCTTGGGCTTTGAGTTGTTACATACACTTCGATCTATTCTGAAGGATTCTGACGATGGTGTAATTTTCTATACTGTTGTCATGGTAATAAATGTGGCAGAAATTTTATTTCAGTGCTGTAAACACCGAGAATGGGAGATACGTTTGTCGTTTCATTTAAATAAACAGAAAAGAGTTGTAAGAGTCAAACTTACTGGTGAATTCAGAGGGTTCCGAGTTCAAATCTCGGTTGAAAACTGATTATTAATTCTGCAGAGAGATAGTGGGACGGACTTAAAATAGCCTATGACCACTCACTCTCATTTATGTTAAGGTTAGGTTTCTCTTAGTGACAATAGAATTTGAACGATACTTCAAATATTTTTCTGTACGTGATAAAATTTTATTGTTGAAAAATAAAACATATGTATTATCGTGCAATGTACACCTTAAAAAGTTTATGGTCACTTCAAATGGACACGGTTCTGGAACAAAAGCACAGCGCTTTTAATGTCTAGCAGAACCTGAGTCCACAACAATGGTTGAATCTTGAGCAGTTTACGCAGGCAACAATACCTTTGTATATATACATACCTTCAACCCGTTCTTATAATTTTACAGACATACACATTACAAGCAATAAAATGTAATACACAATTATAATAAAGATGGCTTATTCCATCGGTACATAGGGCAGATGTGTTAAGAACAAACTGCATTTTCTTTAAAAATGTAGGCACATCCGGTTAATATCATAATCTGCAGCGCTGTTTTAGGCGACTTGCCTAAATCAAGTGCAGGACACGTCAACCACTCTCACGAAACGAAATCAGACGGCGTAAAACCTGCGGAAAAGCGTAGGAAAATTCAGATTCTTAAGTCTGATAAAAGATTTCTCGTTCTTACATTTCATTTCATTTTTTTTTTTTTTTTTTTTTAACTTCAGAAGTAACTGTAAATTTTTGGAATACGTTTTTGTTGTTTAAGGTCAGAATCGCGCGGTTCAACTCCGGCGATCTAAGACGGAGACAGCAATGCCGACACAGGAACGAGCGAGTATCGTACATTTTCCTTTCTTCGTCAACTTTAAATTTTATCGTAGACTTCTAAAATTTAAAAATATAGGGCAGAGGAAAACACGTTCTCACGAAAGGTAACCTACGTCACAATATAGTCAGTCACCCGAACTTTAAATGAGCAAATAATGAAAGCAGATATGCAACAGAGTTCGTTTTAACTCCGTAAATATTAATCCTGCATATTTAGCATGCGGTCTGAATACTGATTAGTTCGATAATACAAGATTCATAAATAAGTCTTGTTTTATCTGTCAATACTTCGCTGCTCCGAGGGCAGAAGGGGGAAGTCCTCACAAAATCAGGCTTATTAATATTTTAAACTGCGTAAATGTTTGTAAGATTTTGAGATGAACGGCGAGTTTTGCTGTAATTACAAGTAACAATGCGCATGCGCCAGAGATTTAAAATTGTTACGGGGCACGAAAAGAAATATCAGTCCCTAAGAAGACATCAGCGATCCCAAAGTCTAATTTTAAGTTGTTAATATTTATGCTTCATAGTTCAATGTGTGAACACGTCATAGGACACAGACTGGCTGTTCTATATTAGTCTAATGCATATATTATATTCCGTTACGTGTATTGACCATGGATGAATTTTTTAGTGTTGAACATTTTTTTCCTGCTTTGTGAAGCTTCAACTTCATCTCGCAAGTGTTCAGTCTTGTGAACGAAAACACAACAAGTGTTTGTACAACACAATGTTTTTTGAAAGGTACACTTTGTAAAGGCGCGCTTATGTCACAAGAATTGACCGCATCGAAGGTAATACAACTTTAAGTACAAGGTGCTAAAAAAATATGTTCCTAATTAAATTAATTAACTAATCGTCACAGCATTATGACTGATGCAACGATTCGTTAAATTTGTCATTAGGCTATTAGCGTGTTAACGTTTATCCTCCATCGTGAGCCTTCCCTTCCCACGGGATGAGACTTCACTTACAAAGCCTGGTCGCAAATCTGACGGCGGACCAGAGGAACGTCTGGTCCGCCTTGGGCTTTCATGTGAATCTCGACGGTTTGTGGCGGTTCTCGTATTTCAGTGACCGAAGCGTTGAGTTTGATCGGAAGTTGAGAGGTGACAGGCGGCCATTTCTCGGTCGCGAGCTCTTTGTCTACGGCGAGATACTTCTTTCCCTCTGCACCAAAACCCGTCAGCTTCCTCCACCTAGGCCTGACGACCTTAGCCAGGACGTAGTTTACGACGAAATCCTCAGTGAACATGACCGTCAGGAAATGGATGACTGCCAGACAAAGCACGATCACCTGTAAAAGCACACACGTAACGAGTTAGCTTCTGAACTTGTCTTTCTGTTCGTCGCGAATCTTCCCCCAGAATAGAGTGTGCTGTCATCTATCAGTGACCTTTGCGATTATGATTTTGGTTGTTATCGATTGTGACTGCAACATGAGATATATTTCAATCCGTTTTTCCACTCGATTAGACGGGTCGGAATTATCTCCTCTGGAGGACTTTTGACAGCTACTTTAATGCCATGACGAAGGGGCAGTCAGAAAGTCGATTGCCTAACAGGCGTGTTAAGTCGGTAGGTTAGGTTAGGTTCTGTGACAAAGATTGACAGGTCCATCTCAGATGAGAGGCTGGTAGTCATCTGAGATTTGTGGGACACACGGCGGTGAGAAGGAAGATGGCTGTATTCCGGGTTGTTGCGCTGCGTAGTCTGTTGGACGTTTACAGACGTTACAGAGATCCCTGCTGCCTTCATCATCAGAACTATCATCGCCCTGATGATGAAGGCAGCAAGGACCTCTGAAACTTAGATAGTCTGTGAGAGTGCATGTCGCAAAAACCCAGAAGACAGCCATGTTCTGCCAGTTCTTTAAAACTTTCGTGTGTATACCTTGAAGTTGAAGACTGGTGGCTGGATGTAAGCCATAACGTTCAATATCCACTGCGCCGGGTACAACGTCTTGTACGCGCAGATCACGGTCATGATGACAAGAGACGCCACGAGGGCCACATTTGTGTGGATTCCCTTCCTGTAGGGCTTGCCCTGCGAGAACGTCACGGCCGCTGCAATGTACTGGAAGAGGGAAACAGAGTACACGGCGTAGTTCTCGTAACACTCGTAACTGTCCGGGTCTTTCGTGTACTGCGAATACCAGGGGAAGTCCCTGACCCAGAAGAAGGCACAGATCTCGACGGCCGCTACTACGACCACGTGCAGCGCGATGGACGCCAGCGGGATGAAGGAGAGGAGGCTCGTGAGGGGCGGGTCCTTGACCAGGGGCCCGTCGTAAGCCTCGGACTTGCCGAAGAAGAAGACAAAGTTGACGATGAGGCAAATGTCGATGAAGAGGAACTGCAGGTCCGTGAGATTGCTCTCCACGGAGTACAGAATGATGCAGGAGAGGAACTCGGTCAGCGAATACGCCACCATGAACTTGAAGATCCCTGATGACGTCGACAGGGCCGCCCGTCCCTCGCGGATCACCCTGGGGACGCACGAGATGTTCGCCTCCCGGGACGTGAACGGAGACGCCACGGACGATTCTGCTTCGGAGAGTGAAATTCCGGCGTGCGCCGCCTTCAGTGCGCCACAGTCGTTCGCTCCGTCGCCACACATTGCTGCAACCCGCAGTACAATATTTTTTTTTCGTCTTAAAGGCATAGTGGGGTCTGTGGCTTGTTGCAAGACATTTATTGGGGGAGCAAGGGTCCTGCTGATCTCTGGCTAAGAATACGTTCAGCATCAAATTCACACTCTCAAATCATCTTAATTTCATGGTGTACGGATACAAAGGTAGCTTTAACCTCGGTGACCCCAGAGGCCTGTAATCGTCGCCTCGACCATAGCACACTGAAATGTCGATTGAACTTACCCACGTAGTAGCCTAGTGACTGTAGTTCTTGTACCAGCTGCTGTTTCTGGTCGGAACTCATTCGCGCGAACACAGCTCCCCTGGTGCAAATGCGTGGAAGCAGCTCCGGGAGTCTGTCTCTGATAATGGCCCACGTGTTTCCTGTCAGCGCCAGCTTGAAGCTCGTCTGACCTGTCCCTGCCTCTACGTCATGTCGTCCGTTAGCTACCGGAGCTACCAGCTGAAATATACAGAAATCCTGTCAGCCACTTCATTTCGTCGCAAGTGTCGAATTGCCTTTCGCGTTGCTGCGATGGGCCGCTGCTTCCGGGAGCAAACGGGACTTACGTCTTTCGGCGAGGTGTAGAAGACCCTGGCGCGAGTGCCCTTGACCTCGGGAACGGCTGTCACAGTCACCACGGCCTCGCCAGGGGCGATGATGCCGCACTCCTTAGCCACGCTGACGGCTGTGAGGATGTTGTCCCCTGCAAAACAGTGCGAGCTACACTCAGCTTTCCTCGGTCGCCAAGTTAACGAAGGTGCCACGACATAGTCAGGTTGTAAATGCAAAAAAGCTGTCGTAACAATTCATTTTCTCCGGGTGTAAAAAAAAAAGATGCAAACGGATAAACGCGACCTCAGCATATACGCGTAGAATGTTCTCGCGTGTGGCCATGGATTCGTGTTCCTCACCCGTTATCATGATGATCTTGAGCTGCGCCCCCTTCAGCACACCAATCACAGGCTCGGTCTCCGGTTTCAACCTGTTCTCCAACACGATCATACCCAGGAACTCCAAGTCCTGCTCGATCTCCTCGCGACGCATGCGCTGAATTTTGCCGTAGCTGCTCTCGGCCAGAGGGCGCCTGCCCAGGGCGATGACCCTGTAGCCCTGCTCCGTGTACTCCTCCAGCGTGCTGTTAAGGTCCTCAGGCACTACCAACAGATTACGAGTAATCGCGATGTTACGAAACACAGAGCGGAAGCGACAACATTAAGATGGACTGTCAGAAGAGAAACAAGAGGACTCTGTTTATGATTTGATCTCGCCTTGCCTCGCCTCGCCTCACCTGTCTCGGGCCGTGACAGCGAAACGATCATCTCGGGTGATCCTTTGCAATACAGCACCAAGTCCTGCGACCCTAGGGCCCGTGTCACCACGCTCATGCGCTGTAGGGTGGACGAGAACTGGAACTGATGGAGCAGCGAAATCGCTGACGGAAGCTGTCGGAAACAAGCAGAGGATTACAGAATGCGCGCTTGTCTATTTCCGGGATGTCGGCACACACAAAAGATCGTCAACACATTGTACGAGTGTCGTACTCAGATCCGCTCAGTGCTTATCTGTAATGTGGTAATGCGGCAAAGGAACATGAAGGCAATTATGTACTGAAAGTTTTTGAGTCAACAATCTCCCGTCTCCATGGCGACGGTGCCTTTCTTTACTCACCCCGTCGTCGTGGTGGTCGTTCGCTGTTGGACATTTGACGATGGTGGGGACGATCAAATCGTACTTCTGCTGATCAACCACCTCTGGTTCCTCCAGCTTCCAACCAGTCGCCTCGAACATCTGACATAAAAATGATCGTGTAGTGACGATGCCACAACCACGAGTCAACAGACCTCGCCTGAAGAGGCTGAGTAACATTTTGGGATACTGGACTTCGGCGATTCCCAAATACGATTACAGATTACACCGGACTTTACAGGAAAACTTGTGGCATCAATGAACGGACATATGTCACAACATAGGCCCTCACCTTTACGTCTAGGGGATCTCCCGACAGTGCGCCGTCAATGAGCGTGAGGGAGTGGCAGGAGGCCATGCCGAGCTGGAGCGGTCCTCTGCTCAGAAGTTTCATATCTTTGACGACCACCTGAAACCGCTGCTCTCCCACTGGCAGAACACCCCACATGTCCAGCCCATCCTCCGTGAGCGTCCCCGTCTGCCAACAGTCATCAACCAAAATGCAGTCTGCAGTCAGCCTACATCGGGTGATACGGACTTTAGCTCCATTAATACAGAGCCCAAAGACTCGCCTCACCTTGTCGAAGCACACGCAGTTGATGGAGCCAGCAACGTTGATTATCCTGGAGTTGATGCAATAGATCTTGCGGGCCTGCAGCCTGTTCTGGGCGTACAGCTTGCCCACTGTCAGCGCCGCTGGCAGGGCCGGAGGTATGACGATTGTTATCAGATCGAGGGCCTTTATCGCCACGTCGCCAGCTGGCACTGCCTTTCCAATCTGTGGGAAGAGACATTTTTCGCTCGTTATGAGGAACAGGGAACGCTAAAGTTACGTACGTTATTCCGATACTTCACTTCGATATAAATCGCAAGGCAGTAGCAATATGAACGCGCTGGCTGGCTAGGTGCAGCTGTTCTGAAGGCTGTACCTTGAGCACGAGGGTATATACGAATCCGACGGCTGCTATAGCGGCCAGGATACCAATGAACTTGTAGGAATCTTGGTCGAACTTGAAGTCTGCGGGAGGTGGGTACAAGATTGACCTCACCAAACTGCCCTTGGCGGTGAGGAACCCAGTGCGCAGAACCACCGCGCGCACTCTCTCGTTTCCATAGAAACGTGTTTGTATTACCTGCGTTAAATGAGAAAAGAATTGTGTTTTGACGGAGTGAATTTATTTTGTAAGAGGCAGGACCACGCGGCGTCAATAGATAAAAATGACGAAGTGTGAAAATTAACTTCATTTCCGAGAAGAAACTGTGCCATTCATTTGCATTGAAACGACCAAAAGTGTTCACAGACGAAAGCGGGAATTATGGTTTAATAAGTTACAATAGACGCCACTCGTGGAGAAATAGGCGCACCTGAGAATATAATATTAAATATAGTGTGGACTGGATTAATCTGGCTTGCGACAGTCTCCAGCGGCGAGCTCTTGTAAGTAGGACAACAGACCATCGTGTTTTATATGAACTAGCTGAGTGTCTAGAAGCTTAATATTTCCACACCAAAGTTGTCACCCGCCAAGCAACTGAAAAGGTTTGAACTAAGGACCTCCATTATTCTGGATGCTACATGTTCAACCCATCTTACCATAACCCTCGCTCTACTGAGGAATACAAATTACGAAGCTCATACTTAAGAAATGTTTGTCAGCTAAAGTTATTTATGTTCAGGTGTAATGTGTATTACATAAAATTTAACTGCAGTTTTCGAATAATTAAAGGAGGTTACGTCACGTGTTGTCCGTTGCCGTCTTGTTGACGCTTTGAACGGCCTTTCAAATGAACATGGAGCGGAACAGTTGATTATCCACGTGTGTGAAACAAGACAAGGTCAGTTACCGGACACGTCGACTTACAGCGAACAAAATGAAATTCCTCGGTGGCAACAGCT